CCACAGGTTGAGAACCACTGTTTTACCGAGTTGCCATGTGAGTTGCTTTGAGTCTGCTTCCACACGTGGCCTTCAATCCAACAGAAGAAAGTGTTACTTGGTCCTCTGTGATCCTTACAACCATCCACGTGCGCGAGTCCATTGTTTGAGCTACTGTGCCAAGCTCCTTATTTAGCATCTCCCTCCTGCTCACTGGCCCTCTCCTTCCTTAAACGTGAGGCTCTCTTCTAATGACTAATCCCCCGGGGGGTGCAGTGGTTACGTGAAAACCCCTTGGGAGAAAGAGAAGACTTTCTATTCCCGTGAAGAGTTACCTACAGGGACAGTTCTATGCTATCTCGTGGGGCCACCGTGCCTTAGTGGCATAGTGGGGACCTGTTGGGCTACTGACCACCAGCTTACCAGTTCCAAATTGCCAGCCTAGAGGGCCGCTATGAGTCAGAACTGACTCCAGGCCAGTGAGGTTTTTTTGGATGCTGGGGCATCCAGTCGATGTCAACGATGACACGTCTAAAGAGAATGAATCAGACCAACTTTGTCATCCGTGGGATTGTCAGTGGCTGCATTGAGGAGGCAGCCTTTCTTCCTGGCCTGTCTGAGTCTGAACACATTGTTGCAGTCTGCCCACCAGGCCTAACCCTGCTGGTCTTTGCAACCTCGGTGGTAACGCAACACACAAACACACAAGCCACCAAGTGCAAGCGAAGCATGCGTGGTGGGTTTGCGATTTACAGGGGAACTAGTCGAACACAGGCCTCCTGGAGTTCTCTTGAGGAGTAAATGAGGAAAAAAAGGTGTCAAGCCCAGGCACAGTTTCCTCCTCTGATGACCATCACCATTGTGTGGTTGTAAAAATGAAAGACACGATCATCACATGAGCTCCCCGCTGGCTGACACGTCTCATCACACACAGCAAATTGTGCATTTCCTTGCCCACATTTCGGAGCAGAGTGGTTATGCATTGGGCTCCTAACTGCGGGATGACAGGTCCAAATCACCAGTTGCTCCCTGCGAGCAAAACTGGGCTTTCTCCTCCGGTAAAGCATTACAGCCCCAGACATTCACAGCAGCTGCTCTACCCTGGCCTACAGGGTCGCTGAGTCAGAACTGACCCGACGGTAGTGAGTGTTTTAGGTAACTACATTTACTCAATGCCTAAAGTCAAAACGTAGGCGCTCCACGTGCATTGTTTCATAGTTTACCTCTGCAGTCCTGCGTATATCTCCGCCCCAGAGTGGGCTGGCCACCAAACCCTGTCATTCCGCTCCCTAAAGAGCTCACAAACTCTGTTTCCTCATCTTTCCTCATCCTCAGTTATGGGTTGAATTGCATCCCTTAAAAAAATGTTTTGGGATCTTAACTTGAATACCTGTTGGGATGAGAACAATTCAGTCTAGGGTGTGTTTTAAACCCAACCATGTTTGAGATATAAAAAGGGCAGATTAGGCACCGAGAAGCAACCAACAATGGGGAAAGACAGATGCATGGTGGGAAGAGTCTTAAAGAAACTGAAAGAATTTCTCCCAAGAACAGACAGGGTTAAACTTCCCTTAGAGCCAGAACCCAGACTTGTAGCTTCATAAACTGAGAAAATGAGTCTCTCTGTTTTAATGTAACCAATCTATGATATTTCTGTTACAGCAGTACTAAGTCAGACCCTTATTAGCTTTTAACTTGATTGCTGTGAAAACTTTCTAATGTATTTCTGTCTTCAGCTTTATGGTTCTGTTATCAATTATTTTACAAATTAGAAAATTGAGACACAGAGAGATTTAGTGAGTGTAGCTGTGCTACACAGTAAGTGGTGCAACTGGATTTCCAACCTAGGCAGCCTGGCCCTTTGATGCTGTTGTTGTTGTTGTTAGATACCGTCAATCCATCTTGTTGAGGGACTTCCTCTTTTCTGCTGGCTTTCAACTTTTTCAAGCATGACGTTCTTCTCAAGGGACTGGTCTCTCTTGAGAACATGTACAAAGCGCATGCGATGAAATTTCACCATCCTTGCCCTTACGGAGCATTGTGGCTGTACTTCTTCCAAGATGGATTTGTTTGTTCGGTTGTCAGCCAATGGAATTTTCAGTATTCTTCACCAACACCATAGTTCAAGTGTATTGCTTATTTTTCCGTCTTCTTTTTGGAATGTCCAACTTTCACGTGCATCTAAAGCAATTGAAAATATCGTGGATTAGGTCAGGCGAACCTTAATCCTCAAAGCGGCATCCTTGCTTTTCAACCCCTTAAAGAGGTCTGTGCTGCAGATTGATCTAATAAAATGCATCGTTCCATCTTTGACTGGTGCTTCCTTGAGCATTGATGGTGGAGCCAAGCAAGACGAAATTCTTGACAACTTCCAATTTTCTCCATATATCATGATGTTACCTACTGGTCCAGTTGTGACCATTTGGGTTTTCTATACATTAGGCTGTAATCCACACTGAAGGCTGCAACCCTTGATCTTTTCAGCAAGTGCTTCAAGTCCTCCTCACTTTCAGCAAATAAAGTTGTGTCGTCTGCAGACTGAATGTGGTGAATAAGCCTTCCTCCAACCCCGGTGCCACATTCGTCTTCCTATAAACTGCTGAGCTTCAGTGATTACTTGCTCACCATGCAGATTGAATACTTATGGTGAGAGGATGCAACCCTGAAACACCCTTTTCCTGATCTTAAGCCAATCAGTTGGTTCACACAACTGCCTCTTGGTCTTTGTACAAGTTCTACAGGAGCACCATGAAGTGTTCTGGAATTCTCCTTCTCAAGGCTATCCAGAGTGTTATATTCCACACAGTCGAATGCGTTTGCATAGTCAATGGAACACAAGTAAGCATCCTTCTGGTATTCTCTGCTTTCAGCTAAGATCCATTTGACATTAGCAATGACATCCTTTTTTCCACATCCTCTTCTGAATCTGGCCTGAACCTCTAGTAGCTCCCGGTCAATGTACAGTTGCCCCCATTGTTGAATGATCTTTGATATCTGCTCTTTATATCTAAGGATATTGGTGTGGTGAGCCACCTGGATATAGAAGACTCTTTTGTATCTCACCTGAATTCTCTCTCTATCTCACCAGATGTTCTGTCAAAGCTGCTGGGCTTGTTAGTTACCTCAACTCTGCTGGAACTCCAAGGTGCAGCCATATGATCATCTCAGAAGAGAGGAGGGTAGTTGAGACAGTGGAGTCTTAAGGGGGTCCCTGTGATTACTGTTTCCTATGCTATCCAGAAAGCAGACTTGGGTTGGGTATGAAAAGTTAATACCTGGATTAGGATGCACACACTTCAAATTCAAATCTGTTTGAACATGCCAGGGATGTAGGTCAGTGAGTGGGGAATTTCCAGGTTAGGGTGCTGCAGGGCACTAGAAGCTGTTTGTTTGGGGAAAACCCCAAGTAGATGTGATGCTCTTGTACCACAGGGACAAATGATGCTCTAGTGAAGGGTCCACTTGATGTAATCAAGAGCCCAGGACTTCTCAATGCTGAATTGTCGTCAGCATTAGACTGATAAGAAGCATAACACCTGGGTCCTTAAGGTCTTGGTCAGGATTAGTTGTTCTTAAGTCTTGGTTTCTCCTTGTTTTCCTGTGAGCTGACAATAATCTCTTCAACTATTATTGTACAGAAGACACAGTGCGGGTGCATGATTTGTGTATCCGCCCGTTGGAAGGCTATGGGTGTAGTGGTGAGAGCACATCAGAGAGCCCGACATCTGAGGATCCTGGCATTTGTTGTTTGCCCAGGGTCTACCTTGGCCTTTCTCAACTGTGTCCCAGAGATGTCAGTAGCTGTTATAAGTCAGAGCTGATGAGAAGGAAAAGTGGAGTTGGCATCAGAGTGCAAAGAACCAGAAGCAAAAATGACCTCTACCCTTTCTGAATTAAAAAATATAGCACGATACATCACTCGCTTCAACATTCATAATGAGTCTTATCATTAAGTTCTCTGTAGTAATGGATTCTTTGTTAAAGTTCAGTTTAACCCTTTCTTATCCTACCTTATCTGACTGGGTAGCAGATTTTGCCAGCACACCTAGTAATATTGCAGATAACTGTCCCTAAGGAATTCAGTTTGGGAAACAGTGAGCTACTTAAACACAGCAATTGAACTGGTAGAACCTAGGACGAGGAGGACAATTAACAGGCGCGCTAGTGCAGACTGTCTCCCCTGGTAAATGTTACCCGATTGCTAGGATTCTCCCACACTAGACTGGGCGCTGTGTTAATGCAGGCATCAGGTCTCACTTACCACTCATTCTTCCTAACCCTTTGGTTGCGGATTGTGTGTGTATGGGGGTGGAGGGGGTGGTGGTGTTTCTTCTTTGGGGAGAATTTTATTTATGAATTTCTCAACCTCTCAACATTTGAATGGCCCCCTGGCAGTGTAGTGATTACAGCACACAGCTGCTAACCAAAAGGTTAGTGGTTTCAACTCCCCAGCTTTTCTATGGGAAGAAATGGGGACAGTCTACTTCCATGAAGACCACGTGGAAGCCACGTGAGGCAGCTCTCCGTTCTAGCTAACAGGGTTGCTGTGAGTTGGACTTGACTCAACGACAATTTGGTTTCTCCACAGTTCCATATTCTTTACTCTTTCTTCACATTTTCATAACATTCCAATGTTCCTTTCACTTTAACGATGATATCTTGTGCATTTAAGACTACTTTTTCCTTTACCACAACTCATGCATAATCATTTTATTTTTGATTCTCATAATAGCTAGCTCATTGTAACAACTTTCTTTTCATTTTAATCATATGTTCTATCATTTTAGCTCATTTTGTATTTCTCTGGGTCTATATTTTAAATCTTTCTTGAGCCCCCCAAACATATGGTTTTAAACATTTATTTTAGTTTCCTATATTAAATATGCTCCGTAGGCATGTTCCATGTGAACTTCCCGAGTACCGTATTCTTCTCTCAATGGGAAGTTGGTAAAAAGGGAGTCCCGTGCAACTCTTGGTGATACGTACTCTATTTCTTTGCATAAAACAAGTTTTCATCACTTCTTGTTTCATCGCCTTTTGTCTAAGATCAAGGGTAGTATCTGTTCTTATCAGGTTAATATCTGATACATCCTCTATCCAAGTACAATATATTAAATGGATTGGGGGGGGGGGCGAGAAGTTTTCTTATTTAGGCCTGTTGTTTGCTCATGCTTGCATTGCTCATATATGAATTCATCTCTGTTTCCCACATGGTACTCCTGATTGCTGTTAGAATCTCTTAGGCCAGTGATATTCACAATTCAGAACCAAATCCTAGCATCTTTGAAGGCGTTTAGTTAGTGTGGTGCTTTAAGGTCCATAAGTGAATTTCACACCTCTGTTTCATTCAGATCTCTTGAAAATTTTGGAGTAAGATGTCACAAGGTGCCCCTGACCCAAACCTCATATGCATGTGACACTTGGGTAATGCATAAGAATGACTAATGAAGAATTGATGCATTTGAATTATAATCTTGGCTAAGAATATTGGAAGCACTGTAGGATGCCAGAAACACAAACAAATCTGTCTTAGAAGAAGTACAGACAGAATGTTCCTTTGAAGTGAGGATAGTGATCCTTTATCTTATGTACCTTAGACATGTTATCAGAGGAGACCATTCCTTGGAAAAGGACATCAGGCTTGGTAAAATAGAGGACCATCAAAAAGAGAATGAGCCTCGACCAGATGGAATGACACAGTACTAAATAATGGGCTCAAATATAACATTTGTGAAGATGGTGCAGGATGGAACAATGCTTTGTTCTGTTGTACACAGGCTCACGTTAAGTTGGAACTGGCCAATAACATCTAACAATAACAGCAGCATTTCATCCAGGAAAAATGTGTTTGTGTGCGTGACACAGTTAAGCTCTTGACTAGAACCAAAAGGTGGTGGGATTAAATCTATTCAAAGGTGCTTCAGAAGAAAGGCTAGCCAGTCTCCTGAGAGATAAGCTTTGAAGAACAGTTCTGCTTGGAAACTCATGGAGTCACTGTGAGTCAGAATTACCTCTCTGGCTAAGAAACATCTACTTCACAATGCTCCATGGGGCACCAGTCACTATTTCAAATCCCGTCACATACATTTAATCCAAAATGTATTTGCTCAGCATCATGCAGCTAGTAAGTATCAGTTATCATTAAGACCTAAGCCAACTGGTTCTATAGTCGGTGCTCTTAACACCTATGATATGCTTCCTTTGGATCCCTTGCCCCCTGCCCCTCAAAAGAAACAAAAGTGTGAGAAGTTTCTGCTATCTTGATTTTTCCTGTCTCTGTCATTTCCTATGGGTGAGAAAACTGGTCATAACTGAATTTCACGCCGGACTTCTGAATGAATGAATACTTCTGAATGAATGTAGAAAGCGATATACTAGTTAGAAAAATGGAGGGAGAGAATCGCTCTGACCCTCTTACGAGAGTCCTTATACCATGGCGGGCTGTGGAGGAAACGCCTGGTCTTGTTTTCTGCCTCCTGGATCCAGTCCTTCTTTGATTAGTGAAAATTCCTCAGGGTGTGAAAGACTTGGATCAATATTTCTTGTTCCCAGGGTTGCAGTAACTTTGCATTTATTAGTGTATCTTTAAGTGTTTTCATGAATATTTTAGTGAGAATTTGGTGGAAAGTGAATCCGGTTTTTTTCGTTTTGTTTTTTGGGTTTTTGTTTTTTGTTTTTTGCCAGCTGGTATCTTGCCTTGGACGTTACCATTATCTAGTTTAATCCCTAAAACAACTTTGCAGGATGCTGTTATTAACCCTGATTTTCAGGTGAAAAAAGAAAGGCATGAAGTTCTTCAGAAGTCACCGAGGTTCATTCAGCTAACAGACGACAAGCCTGGATTTTGTCGCTAAAGCTCTTGTTTGAGAAGCTCCAGTCTCCAGTCCAATCATTTTCTTTCCTTCCACTTTTCTAAATCTTATCGAAGATTCCTTTGCTGAGCTCCTAGTTTATGAACAAGAGCCAATGTTTGTGCTCATGTAATTCCTGAAAAGAAGAAACAGATAGAAAATGGTAGCACTATGGATTGACTTGTGTCCCATCAAAATATGTGTGGAGCCTGGATTGTAGTTGCTAAGCACTCAGCTGCTAACCAAAAGGTCAGTGGTTCCAAGCTAACAGCTGCTTTGTGGAGAAAGAGATGGCAGTGTGCTTCTGTAAAGGTTGACATCCTTGTAACCCCTGCTGTGACATTCTACCCTACTCTGAAAGGTCACCGTGAGTGGGACTGACGGGATGGCAGGGGCATTTGTTTTGCTGGTTGAGGTTTTTATACCCATGAATAAGATCCTGCTTGGAGTGGGACTTTAAAAAAAAAGAAAGTGCTGATGAAGTCACACCAGTGTAGGATGGATCCTGAATGGAACTACTTTTGCATTTTAAAAATATGCATTAAGGACCTTGGGAAATAATGGTATTAAACTAGAATTTGACCATTATTATTTTCATCTTAATTTTCAAGGTTGGTTTTTATTTATGGCAAGTTATTCTGGACTTCCATTTGCAATAATGATAGAAAAAAGTTCATTTTTTAAAAACCGAATTGTAGCTACTTTGTGTTTTTTTGTTTGCTGGTTGGTTGTCTTTTAAGTGAATTTATTTAAAGAAAGTGTTGTTGTTGTTGCTATTGTTAGGTACCATCAAGGCAGAACTGAGTCATTGTGACCGTATGTGCCATGCAATGTAACACTGCGGGGTCTTATGCCATCCTCACCATTGTTTTTAGGTGTGAGCCATATGTCCATTGTGGTAATTCCATCATCTCCTGTCAACTTGAGGGTATTAGGAGTGAAGGGGTGGAGTTTAACCTGTCAATCAGGTTGCTGCTTAATGACCTAATTTGGAGGCGCGTGATAGAGATGCCTAGCTCACTGGTAGCCAGACCCACTCTCTCTCTGCCTTCCCTTTCCTGCCGTTGACACACTTAGATAGCTGGAGGAGCCATGTGGAGACCTGTGCCAGTGTTGAGATGATTCCGCTGCCACTGGTTCCACAAGACTTTCTACCCACTGCCCTGTGATCTTCCTGCATTTGGCATCATTGCATGTGCTGCGTGAGTCTGAAGTGGAACTTACGGACTAGTATCAGACATCTGGACTAATATCAGACTTATGGACTGGATCTGGACTGGGCTGGGATATTTTCTTAATATGTAACTACGCTTTAATATAAAGCGCTCTCTTACACATATGAGTGTCCCTGGATTTCTTGCTGTAGTCAGCCTGGACTGACGCTGTCAGTCCATCTGGTTGAGTCTTCCTCTTTTTCACTGTTCTTCGACTTTACCAAACACGATGCCGTGCAACAGGAAATGGTCTCTTCTGTCAGCATCTCCAAAGTCTCACCCACTAGCCTCTAAGGAGAAGTCTGGCTCTGTTTTTTCCAAGATAGATTTCTTTGTTCATTTGCCAGTTATTTTATGAACTGTCAACAGAAAATAGTAGAAAATAAACTAAGTTTTGTAAGCAATGGGAAAAATTGTGATGATGAAATTTGTAAGCCTGAATGATAGGAAGTATTAGAGAACTCTGGAGAGGCAAGGAAGGGGAAAATGGTATAACGATAGGAAAAGTTAAATATGTAGTTGTGAGTAAGCACATGTGTGTGCATTCACATGTGAGCCTGTACGTCTATGTAGACATGTCTCTATCTTTGTGAATGTATGTGAGTATGTGTATGTGTGGGTTTGTGTTCTCATTTCCATCACCTGTGACGAATGAGGAAGATTGATTAACCCATTATTGTTCTATATAAACAGAAGTGAGCATATTCATACACCCTGAAATACAAAACAGTATGGGTACGGCTTGTTTTTAGAAAGAAATAATTAACAGTAAATAATCCCGACACTTACCATGGCTGAAAAAGCAAGATGCTTTAGTCCCTGAAGTTACATTCAGGGCAGCATATTTTTTAAAATATCTTGTTGCTATGACACTTGGAAGCTTGAAAAGATATGGCTGCTACCAGGAATACCGAATTGCATAACTTGACAGTTTTGATGGAAATGTGGAAAACTCTCCCAGAAGGTAAGTGGCCCGTTTCATTCAGGTTTTCTGCCGTCCCCACTCCCACCCCTATGGAAGAGAGACTCCAAATGTGTTCAGATGAATCGGTCTGACTTAGATAGTTCCCTTTCAGTTATTCTTCCTGCAGGCCTGGTGATTTGATAGAGTCCTTGTTAAAATTCAGGGACTGCAACACATCAATCAAAATGCCATTTTAGAGAACCGTATCATATGCCTGTCTCCTTACAACCCCCTGTTCCCACAAGACGACCCTGACTGCATGGTCCTAATCCTTCTGGAAGAGTTCTTAACATTCCCGTTTGAATTGCCAGCTTATGCAACTGTCTTCCTCAGAGTAGCCATATCTTTTCAAGATCCCAAGGCTCAAACAGGAAGGAGCTTACAAGGGTCATAATAGGAAGGTTGTTTTTTTCCCCTTCCACTGCATCTTATACAGTGCCTGGGATAGGGTAAGTGCTCAGATTCCCTGGCCACCACCCGCAGAAACTGACCCTTCTCTGAGTCATATGCAGGTTTCCTAAGCTTGTCACAGGGAGAACACAGCTACCTTCCCACTAGCTTCTCCAACAGTGCTATCCCATGAAGGCCACATTACAGTACAGCTGAACCATTTTTTATCATAGGGTATTCCTTTGAATCATCACAACAAACCCTGCCAATAGTTGTCAATAGTTTTGTGTTTATTTACCCAGGAGGCAACTCAGGCTTAGGGAAGTTAAGTTTCACATCCAGGAGGCCATAGGTCAAAAGTCGGAGAGATGGTCAAATTCAGGTCTGTCTGAAGATGAAATTACATTTGCTCTGGGATTCCATGCAGCCACAAGGTCAAAATCACTGTCCGCTTCCTCCTTCCTTCCATCGGCATGTGAAGTCTCTGTTTCATGAGCTTGCACTATAATTGGAGGAGACCGATGAAGAATAAACAAAGGCAATTTGAGGCAAATAAGCATGCAGAATAGGTTCTGGGAAGGGTTAATGCAGTAGGGAATAAAGATCCATTACCAGTTACCGTTGAGTTGACGTTGACTCATGGTAACTGCATGTGTGTCAGAGTAGAACTGTGCTGCTTAGGGTTTTCAAGGACTGCGGGCGGTTTCAGAAGTACATTTATGGGCCTTCCCTTGGACTTGCTTCTGGGTAGACTCAAGCCCCTGATGTTTTATGTGGCAGCCAG